GAAGGATCGACTATTAGGAAGGTCATAGAGGCCGAATCGATGGAGTTGCCGCGCCTTTTCGAAAACAATTGGATTCCTTACACCCGTCTCCAGGTAGCAACCCCAGAGGTCGTACGTAGACGCCCTCTTTCAGTTATCATTTTTTTTTGGTAGGGACGCTGGTAACCTAATGACCTCGGTGATTCACTTGGTCCCCGTCGTTCATCATGCTACCGGGTGGGTAGTTTGATGAACAACGGGGCAGTCGTCGGCGCCATAACTCGACCGGAATCCTCGAGCCATACTACACAATATTGTACGGTAATGCACACTGTAACCATTAAATTCATTATTCAGCCCATAGTGGCCACCAATAATCGTTTGCGACCACTATAGGATTCCGATTTCAATAGATTTAATTTCAATAAATATGAACAAGTGATAGAGCGGTGCGTCTCCACGCCGCACCGCACTGGTATGCAGCTCAGATAGCAAAAGTGACACGTGGTGACCGAGCGACAACGAAAACCACTCGGACGCTCAAACTCTACAAGAAATGCATCAAAGCTGCGCTATACACACACACACTTACGGCGATTATTTTTCCGATTCCTTTCAGTTTCCTCCTGAGGAGCCAGTCTCTACCAAGCATGTTGGTGATGAAATGCTCTTATCGGTGGACAAGAGATTCCTCTCTCAAATACAGAACTACACTGTAGTCAAAGAGACCGACCATATTTAGATGCCTTCTGTTTCGTAAGCTTGAGCGGTCGATACATAATAGCTGTTTTGCAGTTAGTACTTAAGAACGCCGTAAGCTAGATCCCGTACAGCTGGAAAATTACATTTCCTCCATGGGGCCTCCGCCCGCCACCAAGGCAGGCCACGCTGAATGCGTACCATCCTGTGAGTTACAAGGTCCTTTGGAAAGATATGGTTTATCCCTGAATTGCCAGTTCAGCATCCTAAGACGAGAAAAACTAGATTAGTCTTTGATAGTGCGGCCTCATACAGCGAGGTACTAAGTTTGAATAGTGTGTTGCTCTCTGGACCGGACCAAAATAACAGATTGCGGAGCGTGCTTTTGAGATATCGTGAGAAGGCGATAGGGTTCGTTAGCGACGTTGAGTCGATGTTTCACTCCTTCCATGTCGAACCATCCCATAGAAATTACATGACATATGTTGTTCGAATGGATCCCGAAGCTTGCGACACGTGACGCAGGATTTCAAGTCTTTTAATCTGTTTACCTGCATTATCGATTTAGTAACCAACATATCTCACTGCTCCATGCGTGACGTGTCGCCCCTGGTGGCCTGATTCGGTGTGGGTATTATTCAGAAGAAGATTTGAAGTAGGATGAACTGATGGAAGGATCACTGGATGTATTATCCACATGTCGTAGGCGGATTTTCGGTGCCTGCCTCCGACTCTCAAGAGGCCGTAGTCCTCGATAAATGGCGTTAGTTCTAGCAGATACTTCGGGAGTATTGAGAATTGACGGACAGAGTTTGGATTGCCCCTTAGTAAGTCTACTCAGTCTTCCTGACCACCTTCAGGGAGTGCAAGAGGGAACTAAACCATTTGTCCCAGGCATCGCGAAATAGCTCGTCTAGAGGAGTATCCCATTCATTCAGATTTTCGCGGTCACTGCCGCAGGGTTTTGAAGAAAAATTCGCTCGTTAACAATCTTCCCCCAAGTATTAACGGGCTGGCGATACCTAAAGGGTCGAAAATCTAATTTACGATGGCAAGTAGGGTAACGTGGGGCAGCACACCCCCCCCCCTTTTTCAAATTAAATTTTTGATGAAGTTTTTATTGATACGAGGTGGTTCTCGGTTTTGTTCAAAGTTACTACTCATGAGCAGGAGGCGCCTATAGATTAATTCAATTTATAACGAGAAGCTATTTTAGGCCCACTGGGTAAAGGCGCCCACCCACTGGGCCCTTTACCCCAATCTCTTTTTTTAAGATAAAAAACGCATGCAGAACAGTTCAACAATATGAAAAAGGTAATAAAAAATATTTTATTTATTTATTTATTAACATCTTGAAAAAAACATATCCTTAACTTTAGAAAAATATATTCTCCGCTTGATAAAATCTATCATGTACAGGAAAAAATATTTCCTTGACATAAGAATATGCATCCTTGGCTTGACAAAAATTACTTGACTAGAAAAAATATATAAAGTACCAGAAATAACTTCGAATATGGAATACAACTAGTCCTGCGAAAATCATACAGTTCATCCAGTTGCTAGTGAAAAAATTTGTATTTTTCAGCATTGATCCTATGCGCTATCACAGTTGCGACAAATATACAACCGACTACTTTCTGTACACTCATGATGAGCCCATTTTGCGCACGCCATGCATCGAATCCATTTCTCCCGTGAACGGCTATTTGAATACGGCTCCCCGCATACAGTGCATGGGCATTTACCATTTTCTGAACTCTTATTATCATCGAAGTTTTTTAGGCTACTGCAGGATGCGGATGCTCTCAACTTCTTTTTGCTTTCCTTTACTTTTCTCGATTGCGCTTTATTTTCTATGACAGTTTTAGACGGTGTTGAGGTAAGGTGTGTTGCCTTTTCACACTTCCGAGTCCTTGTTCTTTTAGTTGATATTTTAGGAGTGGTAACAATCTCTCTAATGATTTCATCCGAAGTTGAGGGTCCCGCGTTGTCATGAAGCACTGAAGAAGTTGAGGGTCCCGCGTTGTCATGAAGCGCTGAGGAAGTTGAGGGTCCCGCGTTGTCGTGAAGCACTGAGGAAGTTGAGGGTCCCGCGTTGGCATGAAGCACTGAGGAAGTTGAGGGTCCCGCGTTGTCGTGAAGCACTGAGGAAGTTGAGGGTCCCGCGTTATCACGAAGCACTGAGGAAGTTGAGGGTCCCGCGTTGTCATGAAGCACTGAGGAAGTTGAGGGTCCCGCGTTGTCGTGAAGCACTGGAGAAGTTGAGGGTACAGCGTTGTCGTGAAGCACTGGAGAAACATTTCTGACGTTGATTCCATGATTAGAGCTCTGCTCGTTTGGCGGGGGCCTTGGTTCTTCGGTCAAATTTGCTAACAAGAAGTCATCGTCAGTAAATATGTCTTTATTATAAGCCCATATTCCTGTCACTTTAAAGCCATTTACACCGCTCTTTGGAATAGCAGTTCTAAGATAAGCCTCTCCAACAATGCTGGCTACTTCAAAAATAGACATTCGTTTTCCAGGGTTAGAAGTCATTCAATTGTCTGCAGCGGAGTTGTATGCTGCTTTTAAGGACTTGAAGTAGCAACAGTCCAGAGGCTGCATCTTGTGAGAAGACTGTGGTGGGATAGTTAGGAGCTCGATGCCATTGTTTCGACAAAACTCAACTGCTTCTAATGTTAGGATATGGCTGCAGGATTGCAGGATATGGCCGCAGGCAGGTTGTAGCTATGGTGTCAATCAAGAATGATAAGATGAGGATTCTCTTTAGAACATTTTGTTATGCCAACAAAATGAACAAGCCACTTGACAAACAATGAACCATCAGTCCATCCTGATGGTCCGATGGACTGATATTGCCTACAGATCCAGGCGGAGCGCCGTTCATAAAGCTGCCTCACCTCATGTTCTTCCGCTGGAAGATGAACATTAGAATAGAATAGAAGTGTCGGCACTGAAGAAATAGGCCCATGGCCTGTTGCCGATTCTTGAACTTTTCGTGACATGATTCACAAGCGATCCGGCCTTTGGAACCCGATCTTTCCATAACTGACGATTGATTGAGAATGAATTCTTCACTTTTTCCCTTCAGATATCATACATTTGATCAATTTTGCATTTTCATCACTTTTTTCACAGCCTTTACTGCATGATTTCAACATTAAAAATTTCAGAGATGAAATCTTTAATTGCATTTCTAACCCTTTTCGCGATCAAAAATTAATGAACATATAATGTCGTGTATTCTAACTGTCGTGATTGACAGGACTTCTCGGCCCTAAGCCACTAGGTACGAATAACATTGGTGGCGGTAAATGTATCCGAAATGAAAGTTAATTTCATGCAGATCGGCTCGGAATTGACGAATTTGTGTGCTTTTCTACCTAGCAAATCGCGTTAGTTTTTATATTTCAATCAAAAATGAATCAAAACGAAAAGAAGATAATTCGACAGTTGCTGGATAATTCGACACCAGCCAGTTGCTGGTATCGAAGCAACCACATAGATGAGTTTTTTAACATCATGCCAATCTGGTCATTATTGACGAATCTATGAGCTGTGCACCTGCAAATAAAGGAGAGCGCAGCCGTGGGTAACAAAATTGACTCGTAAACAGGCCCTGGGCCTAACGCCAATCATCAGCATGCAATATCTACACATAGCCTCAGACCAATGAGCTGTGGGTAACTCCGGCTAACAGTAAATCCGCTTTACACAACACAGCCACTGCTTCACAGCGCCGGAGCCCAACTGGCCGGAGCGCAACAGGCCCTACCGCAACAGGCGGCGCAGGTTAGGTCAGGTTAGGTTATGTTAGGAGTAGCTGTTGCGGTAGGGCCTGCTGCGCTCCGGCCAGTTGTGCTCCGGCCTGTGACTGAACTGAGCTGTTGTGGTGGGCGCTTTGTGTCAAAAGCCGTGAACATGCCCGGCTGCGTTGCGCTCGGGAAGGTATATGAATCGCACTGTGGACTTGGGCTAATGGGCTATGCTGACCTCTAGCTATCCACCCCAAATAAAGTGCGTTTTTCCCATTTCAGTTCGCTGTCGAGTGCGCGAATGAATTGAGAAATACTGATTCGGTGATTTTTCCAAATTAAATAAAAAATAGGTAAAAAAACATAATTTTTACCAGGCATTCCATTAATTTTTTGTATTGAAAGTGAGCTTTCCAGAGACCCGAGTATGGAAAAATACAATTTTTCGCTAATTACCGACAATCTGCACCATTTTATTTTAGGAAATTTTGTAGAGCGGACCGGTCAGCTTTATTCATTTCGTCAATTGGTCCGGGTCCTGTTTTAGTAAGAACCCTCGGCGTGGTACGGTATTTGCTGTGCTGTAGATCAGATGGACAGGCAGTCCAAAGTCTAGCATGCCCGGGCACTCTGAAAAGGATAATGATATGCTGACTTATTGCCTCTGAGACTCAAAATTTATCATTGTTACCTATAAGTTGTAGGTGAGTAAAATAATTGAATAGGGGCACTTGCCAAAGGACCGTTGAAGCCACTATGCAGAGGGTGGATGCAGCGTCACCAATATATGGATTTTTAAGCCCAAAGCGTCACCGGCCATTTTAAAGATGCATCGCCGGGTAATTTTTAATGAAAAGCCATTTACGCTGAGTAATGACGAACTATTTACAAGCCACGAACTTATTTACAAGGTTGCATGCACGTGTTACCCCAAATAACTAATTTTACTCTCATTAGTCAGTCATAGTGACAAAGCAGAGAGTTTTTTAGACTCTCCCTCAAGTTCATTTTTCGAGTCCTATAAGTAGACCAGTAAAGTATCATGGATACCAGCTTCATCATACATAAGAAATTGGTTTAAATCTTGAGTAAATGCGGAAATTAAAAATGAACTGATTCTAAAAAATCTCTGGTTTGCCACTATGTTTACTCTAAAAACAGTCCGATTGTACAGCAAGTGTCAACTGAACATGTAATAAAGCAGTCTGACCGCTCTAATGTGACCAAAATTACGCAATCGAAAAATCGTTGTTTACATTTTTTGCGGGAACTCATTGCAACTGATTTCCGGACAAGCTTCGCTGCATCGTAATCCATCCAACGTACCGGAAACCTTACTTTTTTTGCTGAAGACTGAGAAATATATTAAATGCAAGAATTTCAATCTAAATGTGTCGGCAAGATCTTCTGAAGGCGAAAATTTTGCCGATAATGCATCGCCGTAGGTCTTTAAATCTTCGTTCACTCTCTGCACAGTGGTCTCTGCACAGTGGCGTTAAAGGACGATTAGCTACTGAACGAAGGCCAGCATTGCCAAACTTCACATTTAGTTCAAACTTCAAATTCCTTTTCATAGGAAGGAACGCTAGAGAGCATAATAGCTTATGAAGTCAAGAGGCAACTTGGCAAGTGTGCTCAAAGCCATAGCGCCGGCCACTGTCGTCTGTCACTGCCAGTCTTAATCTTGCTAAAGGAAAGACAAGCCTGTCCATGGCTTAGCGGCCTTACCCAGGCCCAGGGCTGAAAGTCATTTTTTAATGGCTCTATTTTATCGTGGCTATATTTTATTGTGGTTCTAATATCATATTATTTTAGTAGGTATGAAATCTCACAGCTCAAATGTCATACATTTTTGTTTGAATGAAAAAAAAATGGCAATTTGCACTTTGCGGCCTGGCAGACAGGCCAGACCAAGCTGTAAAGTAGGGCCTTTCTGCTTGTGATATTGGTGTCTTTTCAAGCTCTCTATCAGCTACCTTGACCTTAAATCGGCGTCCATGGCCGCCACTGTGCAGAGAGCCAGAAAGTGAATGTTACTGGATGAATATTGCAAGATCTTCAGCGACACCTCCAGGGTTGGCGATTTTTTTGATTTTTTTAAAAAAATCAAAAAAAATCAAAAATCAATGATTTTTTTGATTTTTTCATGATTTTTTTGATTTATTTGATTTTTTTGATTTTTTCAACTTTTTTGTCTTTTTGAAGTGTTATTTTTTATGTTGCAATTAGCCTACTAACAATAGCAGTATATAGATCATAATGGATGGCTAAAAAGGGCACTTATTGCCTTCAATAATGGCCAACAGGCCAAGGTGGTGTTTACCACTTAGGGATTTTTGGGTAAACAATTATTGGTACTATGTCTATTCATTAGCTTTGTAAAGTTTATACGGAGCAAGGTAATAAGCTAAATATTGTCCACCCTGTATAATAAGCTAGCTAACACATTTAAATTGTATATTGTAATCAATATATAACAAATAGTCAAATAGTTAAAGACTACTTATAGCCTTATAAGAATTAGCTAAGCTGCTAGCTACCTACAATGTATTGCACACTTGATGCCTCTGTACCAAAAACATTCAATTTATTTGAACCTAATACACACTAAAGGCAACAAGTTTATATACCAATTTGTCATTTATAGTACATTTATACTAAACCATGAATAACAATACCTCAATATAAATTAAAGACTGCCACTCAATATATTTAATTATATGAAAAAATCAAAAAAATCAAAAAAATCGAAAAAATCAAAAAAATCATGATTTTTTTTATAAAAAAATCAAGTGATTTAATCACATGATTTAATCATTTTGATTTAATCATTGCCAACCCTGGACACCTCAGTAGCAAAATTTACACCTCCGGAAGATCTTGCCAACACATTTAGATTGAAATTCTTGCATTTAATATATTTATCAGTCTTTGGCCAATTATTAAAAAAAAGTAAGGTTTCTGGTATGTTAGATGGATCAGCCCACACTCAGGATGATGTATGTTTTTGGTGAATTTGCCCGCACATTTTCACTTTTTTTAAGCTATTGCTGTCGCTGTGCACAGTTGGCGCAATGTAATGAAAATTGATTATCTTCGCGCATGTGTTCGTGCAATCCCGGCCATCTTTATTTTAGAAGAAATTTTCTCCAAAGTCATATGGCAACACTGAACACCGTCTGTTTACATTTCGTATGTATAATAGCCGCAGTTTACGATTACCGTACGTTCCGTATCCGACAAGGCGGACAACCGGAAGAGTCAGAAGTAACCCGGACATGTCTTACATTTTATTATTGTCAGTTCGACTCGCGTAGTCAATATACTCGTGTATATTGTCGACTAAAATAGTAGAACTATTTTAGCTTTCTAAAGTACGGTGCACAGCGCATTTTTTTACCAACGTAGTATGGCGCACCGCGCAGGTCGTTAAAATGACAAAATAAATTCCCACGCACCTGGCACATCTTCCTGACCATGGGGATCAGCATGCAGTAAAGCTTGTCCGGAAATCAGTTACGATGAGTTGCCGCAAAAAAATGTAAACATAAAGTTTACGATTACATAGTTGCGGTCACATTAGAGCGGTCAGACTGCATTATCACATATTCAGTTGACACTTGCTGTACAATTGGATGGTTTTTAGGGTAAAATTAGTTATTTGGGGTAACATGTGCATGCAACCTTGTAAATAAGTTCATGGCTTGTAAATAGTTTTTCATTACTCAGTGTAAATGTTTTTTCATTAAAAATTACCTGGCGAAGCATCTTAAAATTACCCAGCGATGCTTAGGGCCTAAAAATTCATATATTGGCGATGCTGCATCCACCCTCTGCAGTCTGCACCCTGGCATGGCTGATCATAAACTTTAGCTCGGGCATCCTGTGATTCCTGTCACCTCACACTTGATCATAATGTTCATACATCTGGTCATGATGCAATTAGATATCAATTTTAAATTACTTTGGGAATGTCAAACTTGAATTAGAGGAGCGGCTCACAGCTTTGCAGACAACCAGATGGGACAGCAGACAACCAGACAACCTCCATTGCTGACAGTCAATATAACACTGCCTGAGAGGCTGTGGCAGTGCGGCTGCCAGCGGCACATTGTACATTGAAGATTGCTCTCTGCAGAATAGTCTTATAGTGCAAACACAGTCTTCACTTACTGTTGTAACGCAAAATGTTTCTAATCTTCAAGATCATTTATAAATTAATAAAAGCAACCTTCTTCTTTTAACAGACACTGATATGCACAGAAAAACTTTGGCTAATAATAATTTGACCTCAGTTACACGTATTTCTTCATAAATTTTATGCCTTTTGCTTTTAATTTGTTAATGTTATGTTGACAGGTAAAATGGCAAGCTGTATTGCACTTCACGATTGTTTATACAAGTTTTAAACTGAAATACTCAGTAAAATTAAAAAATACTTGAAGAAAAACTGATTTCTATTATTAAAATGTATCAGAAATTATTTAAATATAACCTATTGCATGTTTCAAATTATAAAAATAGAGAAAGCCAATGTCTAATGACAACTTCAATGGTAGAAGATTATTGACACTACTTAAAGTAAATAAGAGGATGCAACTCAATGATCAAGTTTTCTTAAAAAAAATTAAAAACGATTTTTCATGTGAAAATCACATTGTTTTATTAAATTTTTAAATAATCTCATTAGATTTTTCATATACTGATAGTAATTAATTAAGGCCAACTTCTCAATACTTACTAAGATGTCAATAAATAGCTTTGTTTCAAATTGGCTTCTCATCTGTAAGGGGGCTAAAAATTAGCTTTCAACGCGCTGAATGAAATCAAACAAAAAATAATGACAATGCACAAAAAATTATAATGTCAATACATAATTTGGTTGTTAATTATCTCCTTGTCGTTGTAATTTGACAAACTCATGCATGCGCAGATGGTAATAATATATGTTTAAAAATCACTTTTTAAAGACATCACTTCTAAAGAATCCAGTGTCTCCAATGTTAAAGATGTACAATGAATTTCTCATTTTATTTTTGAATACAAAAAAAATTAATTTTAAATTTTTTTAATGTATAAATTTTTTTCAAAATTATTTATTCTGTCAATTGATTCATGCATTGTATTGCCTCTGACTTCACACAAGTGTGCAAAATTTCAGATAATTGGACAGGTAAAAGTGTGTCAAATATCATTTATAAGATTTGTAGCTGACAAAATTATTTTTTCAATTTTTTAATATTGAAGAAAACATTTTTTTATCTTAAAATCATTTATTTTGTCATTTGATTCTTGCATTGTCACCAAATTTACGCAAGTGTGCAAAATTTCATATCGATAGGATAAGTAAAAGTGTGTTAAATTTGATTATAAGATTTGTAGCAGACAGACAAACAAACAAGAAGTGAAGTTAAAGAGAAGTGTTGTAAAAAGTAGCTTTAATTTGGTAAATAATATCGAAGGGGGAAGAAAATTATCCTTAATTTTATTAGGTCAAGATCAGTTTCGCTTTAACAAAAGTATACATGGAACATTTTTGGTGGAAATTTGTCTGTCGATTTAGTCTATTAAAATTTACCAGAATTTCCTCTTCCTTGGCTTCTGAAGTTCTTTAAACAAACCTTAAGTCAAGGATATTATCGTTGTGATAAAATTATTAAATGAGAGAATTATGAACAAATAAAAATTAGGAAGGAAAAAACAC